TCTCAATGTGTGGGACGCGGGACAAATAATAAAAATGCTGTGTGTGCAGTCCCGCACAGTGCGGGACACCTGGTCACCCTACACACACAGTTCTGCCCCTCACACACACACGCTTCAAATCAAATTGCATAAATGCTTGAGCTACGTTTTTATTATAATTACTGTGAAATCTGCCTATTATGTTTTCGTCATTATTACAACAAACACACACTTGCAACTGATAACACTGGCAATGATTTTAGATGTATTAGACTATTAAAAAAAGAAATCATGCTTCAAATAAGTGGGGGTACGGCGTACCCCCGCGTCCAACGCCCACTACACCACTGACTGCAACTACAAAAAGCTAAGGTTTGTTTTCTCATCAGGAAATGCAGACCGGCTCAAACAAAAGATTTTTAAATCATCATCCTCACGATCATTTAATGTATCATATGTTCGCCGAATTGACATGAAAGCACTAATAAATGTAGTTTCATCCACTTGAGTTTACAAAAATAATCGATTTGTTTTTATACCACATCCGACGGGAGGAAATTCAGCAGCTCTCACTACCGATTTGTAATCCTAATTTAATCATCATCTTCACCACGATCATTTATGTTTATGTTCGCCGAATTGACATGAAAGCACTGACAAATATGAATATACTGTAGTCAACTTCATTAAAACGTTATTAACGTGCCTAAACTCAGTAATTCACCATTTCTACGCATGACAACACACTTTGTCCGTGTTTGGCTCTCTCGCCGCACAGTGAAGCGTTCCCGCATTGACGTCACTTCCGGCTTCCCCCAAAACCTCAAAATGAGTCGAAGGAATTTTCCCGCGATGTTCGAAATTATTGATATTTATCGGAACGGTATCGCTTTTTCTTTTTTAAACTGACTGTTCGAGATTACTAGTAGCCCACTATTTCATTGCACAACAGTTGTTGGGTACGTGTCACAGGCTCTTTAAGTGCAGGAACTGACAACCTCTTACATCATCATAGACATAAATGTATGTTTTAGATTTGGGCTTTTACACCGTACATTAGGTCAATAAATGTGCTGCACCTTGGCCAGTTTTAACAGTAAAATGCTGCATAAATGTTTACATATCAGTAGTTAAAATCTAATAATAGAACACCATGAATTGGGCTATTTTGTAGTGCTTTTTACTTTTGATACCAACATACATTACATACATACTCGATTTTCAAGGCGGTATTTGCAACATAGTATTTTGACATTTTTTGTTTTGGGACCTGGCTGAAACAGCAAAAACAAATACATTTATAATAAATGTAAGTAACCTCTTGTTATCCAATACAACTATACACTAAAGTAGATAATTTTCGATTTTTCTAATTAATAAGACAGACTTATCAACTCATTGCACTTTCGCTATATGACCTTACTCTTTTCTGTCTGCAAATAATTTAGCTTCCTTCCTGCTAAATGGAAACCAGCTCAGGGGTTAGTAACCATAGCAACCAAGCCCCTTGTGGACCGCCATCCCTGTAGAATTCCTCTTCTCTGTAAACAATCTACACATGTGAGGAGGAATACAGAGAGGAATTTTAGAGCGTGTCGGGCGGCAGTAAATCACTTCTTGTTAAATTGTAAGCCTTTTTGAAAGCTCCATTGAAACAACAAATGGGGGGGGAGAAAAAAAGCTGATTAGCCCTCGCTTGTAGCCTTATTGACGTCATCATGACACTAGGCCATTTGTTGTAGCCGTCTGCAAACAAGGAGTATGGCATCAGGATGGCTGCAAGCTGATGCTCTGTGATCATCTGATGTTTCACAGACACGAGGACCTGGTCGCATGATAGGCTCATGGGCACTTCAGAGACAGTATGCATGTGTTAGTGAGAGAGGCAGGGACTAACGTATGGAAAGGGCACATGCTTTTCCCAAAAAGGGTTTGACTGAACATGACCCAGTTTTCTTGTTGTCAGATGTGATTTCAATGAATCAGACCACGTGTGTCGGAAACAAATAACTCAGCCCTCAGCGTTAAAATCAGAAACGGGTTTATTACCAGTTAGGTTGACGTGTACGAGGAATTTGACTTGGTGTTGTTGTGAACACATAAAAGTAAAACAAAAATTAATAAACACAGATAGCGAACTATTTTAAAAACACTATAATAATATTACAAAAAAATAAGGAAAAATTGAAAATAAAGCAGTATTTACATAAAATAAAATGTAAAATATGTGCAGTAAGCAAATCAGTTATTGTCCACATTTTGTGTATTAATGTAATGCATATACATTTTGATGAAAGATTCAAACCAACCATATGGAAGTAAAACAAAACGTTTCTATGGACTACTACGGGTAAATGTCACATAGTGGCCACACAAGAAATATGCCACACATAGAAGTCATGTTTCCATTGCAATGCCGTGTGCTGGCGAGCTAGCTGAGGTCGGTCGGAGTCCTGAAGTATGGAGTTTGGCCACAGAGCCTCCAGCGAGCCGAGGCCTCGCTACAGCAGCGCTCTGTCTCCATCCAGGCAGACTTCCCTCTCTAACCCACACTGACACAACCAATGCAACTGCAGCTGAGGTTTTGTAACTAGAATATCCTGACACACACACGCAGCTGAACCAGTTTGCCAGCCTCTTCGGGCAACATACTCCTCTTGTACAGTACACACACGCACACACACTGCAATGAATCACTCAGCCAAGCATTTGCATCCCGCAAACATCACACTGGCACTCAACCAGAGGCAAACAAAGCAGGGGGAAGTGAGTGAGCATGTGGGCCAGGCAGGCGAAGAGTACGGAGTGTGTGCCTACGTAATCCTCGTCCCGCGCTGTGTGTGCTGTGTGTACCAGTCACACTGGACCTCTAGCTCTGTCGGGCCACTGGGCCACTTCTTAATGAAGAGTGTTGAGCAACAGGGCATAGTGGAGGGCTGATTTAAATGTAAAGCATGCTGGTCTTTGTACCTCATCTTGATTTAGTTGTCTAGTTAAGCTGAGGTTTAAATAAACGTCACTATGACTTTCAGAGGAATCATACAGTACCGTGATTATTTTTTTTTTTATGATGTTATTGTTTTGTCCTTTGTTTTGTCCTTTTAATTATTGAGAGCAACATGTAATTAAAACTTAGGATGTAAACTTAAAGTAGCTGGAATAATTCATAATATTGGAGCAGTTTCTTCTTTGAACATTGTTTTTCGTATACGTGTGATTTTGTATACATTTGCCATATCTTCATATATAGATTGATATCGGACAAAGTCTTCTTAATTATCTTCACCAAAAGATGTTATGTTTTCAGTTCAAGTTGTTTACCTGTTTGTCTGTCGGTAGAATTACAGAAAAAACTAATTTCCCAATTTGAATTAAACTCACTGCAAAAGCGTATGTGCCATGTAGACCTTTGATCATGTTTTCTCTGATTGATTGTGCTGTTATGTTTGTTTTTCATATATTGTGTCTTGATATTTGTCTATCTTTATGTTACACATGGAGCTGCT